CCTGCAATTGTTTTTTTACCTTCTTCGGTTGTAGAAGTCCCTAGAGGTGTCTTCTGACACTAAATACCGGTGATGCCCCTCTGTTCGCTTGCTGGCGGGGGTGGGCCGAATTTTGCTCACCTGGAGTGACTCACCCAACCGGGGGGAAATCTTTCTCAGTAGAATGCGACATATGTCTATTAAGCCTGCCCGCTTACTCCTTCTTTCCTCTTATCTTTTCTTTCATCTCTACTCTTCCACTCTACACTAAACTGAAGGTTTGTCTCCCCGCTTAATATCGTCAACCCTTTTATAACTATGATCACCTCGACCCCAATATCACTGCAACTAGCGGGTAAGAGTGGTATGAGAAGAGCTCTTCCCTGCAAGCATCTCGATCTAACTAGTAATTTCGTAGACAAACCCTGAACCCCGGACATTATGCTGCCATCTATCGTCTTTCCCAATCTTTCGAGGAAATAATGCTGCAAAGCTCGTCAGCTGGCAACGCAGTCGCAATCAAAGTCACTGGACACAACCACTATCCCCGGCCTTGGTTTTCCCGCGAATAGCGAGTTTTCCCCGCGCGAATTGAAACTCGGATGTCTAGATACAACTGGGCGATCCATGAGTGCTCCAACTCTGATGTTGGTCCCGCTTATACCATTTTGTCTCTGAGGGATGTCCTTAATATCGGTATCTCGCGAGTAAAGAGCCCTGTGCAAATCCATGGTTTTCAAGGGAGGTGGGAGTGGCTCTTAGACACCCTAAAATGCTACTGCATTTTTTGGCACTACAATAGGATAGGGACACGCTAGCTGCAGCACGATCTCCATGAAGGGCTCTTGAGCCTGGAGAGGAATGGAAAATCCAAAAGAAGAAGAAGCGGGACAAGATATGTATGTGTAGGAAAATATTATCACGAGTCCTAAGTAAAATATCTCATGGGGGGAAGAATCCATTCCTTCAATAAAGCGAGTCGAGATTTTTTGTTCGTTTCCATCTATTCTAGTACCCCGAACTCGGTATCCGCGGCGTTGGATTTTATCAGGTCGGTGTCAACCGTATACTAAGGAGTTTGGGAACAAGTTTTTCTGTTCTATTCCGAGACTCTAGTCTCACGCAATATCAAACCTTCAGCCCTCCCTCTTCATTCTCCCTCCTCTCCCTTTCACTCCCGACACTCATCTCCCCCACCTAACTCCGTCCCTCAACTGCTGTGTCATCGATGTGGGTCGCGACAACGGTGACCTAGAGTTTGTTTAGAGTGGTCGTTGCGACCAATGTAGAGGAAAGGAAAACAGGAGCAACCTGATCGAGGGGAGAATCGTTGAGGAATATATTAATCCTTCCTACATAACCTTAACGCGTGTATAGGTCTTTAGCGTTGGGATCTATCCTCCATGAATAGGAGAGAGAAGTTCTTGTAGATATTCCCATTAAACTGATCACCTTTTCCATAGACAAACACTCACCTCACCTCCTACCTCCTGCCCCCTCTCTCCGCTCCCTACCCCACCCACTCTCAACCTTCAGACGATTGCCCTTACCAAATTCGTATCATCGATGCAGGCCGCAGCATTGATGACTGTGGTACTTCACGAGTGATCTATAGTGACCCGGACATGGAAGGGAAAAGTGTAAGCTCTCGACGGATATAAATTAGATACTCAGATTCTGAAAAAGCTACATCATCTCCAAGAAGAGCCCAGATACCGCAGCGCGCTTCTTGAAGCGTGATCCATCGGAATGAATTGCATTCTGAATCACGACTTATGGCTTGCGCGTTGACGGGTTAGGGCGTGTGTTCGGAGGAGCGGACGAGGTCCAGGCCTGATGGCGGTGGAGGGTCTCTGAGCCATTAAGTATTTGTCGCGAGTAGGTGTTCATGTCTTCGCTGTGGCATATTCGGTGTAGCTAGACTCAGGCACAACTGTATTTTGAGTAGTCGGCCTCAGTGATCCGAATGCTATTCCGCACAAGTGAGGTGGTGTGGGTTGTATTAGTTTCAGCAGTGGAAGTTTGTTAGCTTTGAAATAACCACGTCCTAGCTCTGGAATTTAGTGCTAAACTCGAATCACTCGCCCTGGCTGGGACCTTACATCTCGATTAGTGGGCAAACATATTTATGATGACAGGGGGCTAAAAAATAAAAAAAAACGTACTTTGCTATCCTCCGGGAAAATACCCCTGAGGATGGGTAAGGAGTTTGTCCCTATGCCAATGCAGGCCGGGCTCGCTCTTTCTCACCATAATCTTCTAATAACTGTTAAAACGTCCTTTACCTCTTTCATTGATATTACACTTCCGATTGTGCCGATGCGTCCTTATTCTAGCGTGGTCGTGCTATAGTGCATAACGAAAACAGCTCGGCATATTTGAAAACTGTGTCTGATTAAGCCAATGACTAACCACGGGGAAGCTAGCATAAGCCCAGATACGGGATTCGAGGGTTATATAGTAATATAAATTCTAAATCCGCCGAGTGCAGAATTGGCCAAGCTCCAACAGTATCCTTACTGCGGGGGAGCCTTACCACCTCTTCTCCTCACTGATTTTCGGCGACGCGCCTTTTCACGCCTCGGAACTCTGGACCCCCAAAATCCGTCTTGGTGGTGGGATCCCCAGCGCGCTCTGAGCTCTCGATCCTTGGAAAATCTGAATGGCACTTCTTTCTGACGATGAATTCCAAAATGGACTGGATGTCTTCCGTGGCAAAGTATTGGCCCCCTACTAACAGGTATGATCCGTAGAACCTTGGGGGAGAGCTTATCGATTCAGCTCGGCCAGTGCTCAGGGAATATTTGTATGGCCGGGGGTTTGCGAATAAGGTATTATTGGGATCCCGTGACACACACCAGACCTCTCGCTCTTTCGGGGCACCCTATCAGTAAGTGCTCAATGGAATGTGTGACTGCAGGGAACGATCTGCCCTCTCGTTGGGTTATCAGGTCGAAGCTTTGCACAGCCATCCATGTAAGTTACAATGCATGGTGTTTTTGGGCGACTTACCACTCAAGCCCACATACCCCCCCCGCCTTGGGGTGTGTAAATGGGGATTGGACAATTTGTGGATTGAGTATTCCATTGATATAATTTTATCCGGCAATAAGTATCTGAAAATGAGGCTTGTGTTACATAACTGCTCTATCAGCAAAAAATATGTATCTTATATCCAGACACCTTCATGCTGGATACGAGTACGAGTAGAGGCACACCGATCTTGATAGTATCGGGAGTTACCGTCTCTTCTCGCGCTGTCGTTATAGTGTCAAACGGGGAGATGGAATTTTTGCACTTCTTCGCACAAAGCGATTTTTCCATTCTCAGCAAGCTGTGCTGTACGCGTCAACCTGCATATTGTTCTCACGATATTTGTGTCGGCTAATGTAGCCTTCGATCAAGTATGGTTATGAAAGTCACACACCAAGATTCAATCAAAATATTATGGTTGGCAAACTTCCATTAACCACCACCTCTCGAAATAATCCTCACCCATGATACGCCTTTTCACTACCCGAGCTTGGGCTGACTCGGGGGGAATTTTTCAAGAAGTAGCCAAACTCGAACCCGCATCTTGAAGCACAATCATAGGGATTCCACGATGTCCAAAAAGTCTGGGAAGTTTTTCAGGTTTGCAGCTGAGTGGATTCGGGCTCCCTCCAGGTTTATTGCCCTCCAGTTCTCTGTGGTGAGCCTTGCGGAACGGTGGGGTTTCAGCTCATCCCTGCTTCCTTAGCATCTTAGCTAACTGGAGTTTGTCAGCCTTCACCTAACTTATCTGATTGCTTGCAGGAATACCGACCCTCGCTCTTGACCTCCTCGCTTGAATGGGTAATTCTCACACTGCTGGTCTAAAAAAGCACTCTCCACTCAATTGCGTTGGCGAATTGTTGGTTAAATGACCATCCGGGCTAAAGATACGGTAGCTGTTTTTTAAAGGAAAAACGGCTGGGGATGATACCACATCTCTGATGGGTTTGAAAAAGAGCCCGGTCATTTTCTCATCTGTTTTGAAGGGTTGAAGAGAAGGCGTGTTCATATTGTACTCAAGCGGCTGTCTATCCCGAGGCTGGCTGGAAGATTCCAAAGATATCGTTGGACTACCAGTTTGGGCCTTCCCCGCGTTGTTCTGTTAAGTTTGTTGGTACGCCCCCGGGGGTCCCACAATTGCGAACTGACGAGCTCCAAATGTATCACCTGTATAGAGGCCTCTCCATTGTCCTATGATGTTCGAATTGGCAGACGTGTGCTTTCGTCGGCACGACACTTACTCGGGGGTTAAGATCCGGTTACTCTCACTCAAACGTTTATATCTCTGCTTTTCTTTCTTATTCGGGGTCAACTCAGAGAAATTAATAGCTAATATCGGTTGTGGTATCAGCTGCTCGTTACCGTGTGTAACCTAGCCAGCCGCGTTAACGTTGGTGTACTCGAGTACAGGGAATTAGAGCTTCTCCAAAGCCCCCACTTTGGCTGCTGCAAGGATGGTTCTGATGTTGGCCATACAAAAACACCATTCCCTTAGGGGTATAGTTTGGAGTGCAGTGCTGGACGGATTTCTATTTTCTCTCCCCTTGCGACCAGAGTTTCTGAGATTCCGACAACACGGATCCACTTTTTGTAGATATTGCTGAATGAAGCGGATACTCTCGAGTTAATCTGAGAAATTATTCGAGCGGTCGCGTTGGGGTTGGGCAAGCTGAGCCCTAGCTCCCATACAAAGTACCGGTACTTGAGTGTAGCCAACCCCAACGGTGCCGCGCCCGTGCTGGTGGAGGATTTGAGGCTTCCTGACGCCCCGTGCATAGCCATCAAAAATATTCTAGTTGTTTCAAGGGTAGAGCACGAATTTAGGACTTTTCGCCCTGCGGAGCCCGGGTCTAACTTAAAGAGTGGCTGATTTACTCCACACAATCCATGTTTACTGCCTGCAGTACCGTACTTGACTACCTGGTATGTTACCCCGGACCTCTTTAATATCGTGCTCGATATGACCCACTCTGGACAGTCAATTTTCTCTCCCCATCTGAGGATGCCCTTATTCCCCAAAGTTTCTTTTATCATGATCGTTGGGGAATGGCTTTGCCAAGCCAGATTTCCACCCCTCGTCGTCCACTCTGAAACTAACCGTTTACCCTGTACTAGTACAGGAACCGGTACAGTAGTATGGAACATGTCAGGCTTCTCGTCGAAAAAAATTGATTGACGGTTTCACCTCCGTGTGGTGTCAAAATGCTGAAAAATATGATATCACTTTCGGCACCTCCCGGGATCAAGGGGGAGGTGGCCCAATAGCGGGTGCTACCGTGCAACTGCTTCAGCCCCAAACAGCCTTGCACGACATGGCACATCCCTTCCGGTTGCTCTCGAACTCAGCCTTCGTCGTACCACTGTCACACACGTTTTAATACGGCCTACCGCTCCGGGCGGGAACAATACCGGTAACCCACTCGAGTAGATACCGTACTTGTACTCCCAGAACGCTGGCAAGCCTGAGATGTCAATGGAGTGAGTGGATTTACCACAAATAGAGGTGATAGACTGACTCACAGCATCTTAAAAGCTCAAAAACTTTTTTCTCGGGTGCTCAAGAGTTTTTGAGGAGGGATGGATTCCGTTATCGAGGTTGCTTCTTTTGGGTCGCTTTTGATTGCATCCTCCTCAGGAGTCCGTGTTTTTAGTCTCGCTGGGCGTGGGTTGGAGGCACTCGAGATGCGAGGGGATACGGGACCTGCTGTGGGCCTTGCGGGGGAGTACTAGTATTCATCGTATTGCACTCGTGTTCGAAGAAATGCCGCTAGATATGCGAGCAGATATTCACTCGTACAAGTAGAGGACGACACGGCATAGTACCGTAGTCAAGTTGTAAGGCGCACAGTATGGAAAGCCATTCGGCCGTCAAGCCGATAGAGCCCCTGGCTGCGATTGGGCAGGGTACCCACAGCCCACTCAGAGTGCTCAAAGGTCTAGCTGTCATATAGACTAAATCTTCGGATAATGAATGGGCGGTGATATCGGTTGATGCAGTCTTCACGCACAATCCATAATTAAGGGGAGAAGGAAAACACATATTTGCATTCATATTCCCATCAAGTACGAGATCATTAATAAGCAATAGCCACAAAACCAATACGGTATCGCGAAAGTGGAACAGGATCATGAGCGAAAAGAAACTACTTGGGCGAAACACAAACCACAACGGTGTCTCCAGAAACACTCTCGTACAATCCCATAGCATTGCACTGCCGAATAACCACCTCCTCCGTCGCAACCCTCACAATATAATTTACGCCTACGTCACTGTGAGCCCTGTAGATACCAAAAGAGGAAGAGGACTTACCAAATATCTCGCTAATCCCCTCCCAGATCTCGGTCACAGCCTCCTCCAGCTCCTCGCCTGTCCACGGCCTAGGAAGGCGGACTATGCCCTTCTGCTCATCGGAGATGGTAACGTAGCTGGATATCTGCTCATCTGACTCGGCCGCCCAAATGGGCTTGTCAGCAGCCCTGAGGGAGTGCGTATCTGCCGGAATGAGCACTACTAAGCGCGGTTTCCTACGGGACATTTGGTTCATTGCGGATATGACCTTTGTGGTGATCCCGGGAACGCCCGCTACCTCGCCACTCTTCTCATCCACGGCAGCCGCAGCAGCGGCAGCGGAGGAAGATGAATGCGCGAGTTCGTGATATGAGGGCAGCTTTCCAGCCCATCCACTGCTGCTGCCACCGGGAGCAGTGGTATCACTAGCGGTAGCAGTAGGAGACGCAGGATAAGCTCCGAACCCAGCAACTTCTTCATCCACCCTCTTAGAGGTGAATAGACCTCCCTCCAACCTTCCCAGTTCTTCCCTGGCATCCTCATCGTACTCTTCCCTTCCCCTGGTCCCCAGATTGTGCTTCTCCCAGTTCCTCAGCGATCCGCCGCCCAAGCTCGCTTCGTGCTGGTTCCCCCCATCCCCCACCTCGGGGAAGGGGATGCCCAGGGTTTTGAAAACATCCTTAAGCGAAGCGGGGTGCAGCGTTGCGGGGGGCAACGTCCTGGTGGAGAGATAGGTTGCCAGGATGGAGAAGGAGTCGGCTGGCAGGTTTAACTTCGCTACGTCGTCTGCCAGAGAGGTTGCAGCCAGGTCGGCGAGTTTGCTATAGGGGTACGAGAGGATGGAGGATTCGGGGAGGTGGAAGAGGTGACCCGAGACTAGGAAGGGGATGAGTGATTGATTGGACATTTTTTTTCTGCCTTATTTTGTCTTGTTTCTGGGCTCACTGATGTTCGGCGGTTGATGACTACGCGGGTTGGTGATTGTGGTGGTGGTCGTGGTGATGGTTTTCAACCGTTAGAAGGAAGTGGGTTGTTGCTTCGACACGAGGGAGGGGAGGGGGAGGGAAGGGGGAAGTGGGCGCAGGTGATAGCGATAGCGTTGGTGGTTGTAAATGGACGTACCGGTAATCCTCACGTCAATGATCTCGCATCGGGTTGTACCACAATATTATGATAGCAGAACGTAGAGGGTGCGAGCAGCGTCGCCTGCTCAACGATAGCATCGGTATCTTCCGCCAAACTGAACGAACCGGGAACCACCGTGGTCAGAATAAACCAACCATGATACGGGAAACCCTCAAGGCGATATTTGTTTGGTCGGAGGCAAAGGCACTGTGCCTGTAGAATATGTCCCGCTCCTCATCACGGGATTGGGCTGGGGCAGCTCGCTTGTTTCCTCTCCGCTCGGAGTGCTTGCTCTCTCGCGAGGCAGACTCCCCCACAGCAGGTTCGTGTCCTGAAGCCCCAGCTCGGTTGAAAGCAAGCAGCAGACAACGTATCCAAGCTCTATGGTATCACGAACGATTCGTAGGATTGGACTGCCGCACACCCACGCCCAGAAATTATCCGTGCACTCGTTTGTGGGGAGGAAAAAGGAAGAAGAGAGGAAAAAGGAAAGGCCGGTAGGATAATCCAGCAAATAGTGCCCCGACCCCGTTTCTCGCCGTACCCTATTTATCGAGATTCGTTTTTTTCCTTCAGATTCCAGACACTCGCAGGCAGACGGGCAGGTAGGGAGGCAGTGCACACACCACTACCCACCCCCTTCCAACCAATGCCGTGTGGGGCTGGGGGCATAGATAAGATACCGGAAATACGGTGCGAGTAGGAGGAGTGGAGGGAAAGTGAAGAAACTGGGGTATTACACTGAGCTAACCCCATTTGTCGCTTTCGGTGTAAAGAGGGGTCCGTGATAAATATGGTTAGACCATCGTGTACTCGAGTACTTGTACGGTAGTGTTGCCGCTATGGATTAGTGGCAGGAGAATTGGCTTTCTGGAACCCGGTTGCGAAGGAAAGAACGCCTTTCTTGGTCGAACGGCGCGAGGCTTGGTCTGCCTTGGGTCACGTGCGGCTGTTGAGGCTCAAGTGGAGTGAAGCTAGTACCTGTACTAGTCCAAACACAAGTCACGAGTGCGGAATCATAGTGTGTATGATACTGTACGAGGGTAATTGTGCGGTACGAGCGCCGGGAGAGGTCAGTGACGAAGGGGAGAAGGGGGGGGGAAGGATCCGGCGGGAAGGGAAAAAAAAGTGCAGTGATTGGTGGTGGTTGGGAGTGGTGGTGGTGGTGGTGGTTACCAGAGATTAATATTGTCCGGTACAATATTGTTTTTTTTTGTGGTATGGTATGGGGGTGGTGAGAGCGCCTAGCTAACTTAGCTTACTCGAGTAATATTGCCGTAAGGAGGACTGAGTGGAAGTATATAAGTGGGAACCTATCTCTTGTCCACTTTTTAATTTGTATTTTGGTGTTCGCGTTGTTGGTATTCTATTCACTTGTTTGTCTCTTTCTTTGCTTTGCGTGAACTCACGAATCCGTTCGTATAGTACTTTAAGCCTTCTCCTTTTCCTTACCACCTCCTGTGCGGTACTATTCTCACCGCCAATTGAGCAATCAGCCTTCCCCACCCCCTTCCCTCCCCCTAACGGACAGACGATAGAGCCGACCGGTCAGAGAATTCATTTGTGTTAGTTGGTATCCTTCAAAGACTCTGCAACCATGTGGTATCATGTCTCCGAGGTATGGAGCCAGCTTCCCCTTACGCTATCTCTCTCCTAGCGATAGTAGAAGGCTAACAGGATCATAGCCGAATAGCTACCTGGCTATAACAGGTGTGAACATTGAGACCGTCCGTATCGCGAAGAAGGCATTCGTGAAGCCTCTGCAGAAAGTTACAAAGTTCTCCATCACCCCCTTCGACTTCTCCCTGCAGTTGCAGGCGATGACAATTGAGAAGTTGCAATTCGCTCTTGTATTATCATCCTCCTAACTATTGCGAATAATTGACTAACATTTCTACAGCCAGCAGTATTTACTATCGGACCCGAAGACACTCCTGAGGCTCTACAGAAATATGCCTCCCTGCTTACTGGTCAAGCGGGCGATACCAGTAGTCAATCCAACAGCAGCGGGCGCGGGCATGTTCAGGATATCGTTAAGGGCATCATCGAGGGTGAGACCAGAGTCATCGTTTCCGGGATGAGCATGGACGAGATCTTTAAGGAGCGCAAGATGTTTAAGGAGAAGGTCATTGCAAATGTTCAAGGGGAATTGTCACAATTTGGGCTCAAGATGTTTGTTCCCCTCACCTTGTGGTTTTGTGGATAGTGATGTTGATTTATTTGAAAACAGTTACAATGCCAACGTTAAGGAGCTGCACGACACTCCCGGTAGCGAGTACTTTGCCTTCCTTTCCCGCAAAGCGCACGAAGGCGCACTCAACCAGGCCAAGATTGATGTCGCGGAGGCCCGCATGCGTGGAGAGATTGGAGAGAAGGAAAAGCAAGGCCTCACGGCTCAGCAGATCTCCAAGATTGAGGCGGATACCGCTATTAAGGAAACTGAACGGAAGAAGGATAAGGCTACTGCGGAGGCTTCCTTCTCCGTCCGTCAACAGGAGCTGAACATGGAGGTTCAGCAGGCGACAATCAAAGCCAAGCGTGCTTCGGAGGCGAGGGATGCTGAGCTTAGTAAGGATGTTGAAAAAAAGAGGGCGGAGATGGAATTGGAGAGGCTGAGGGCTATGGACGTCGTCAAGAGTATTATTACCAGGGAAACACAGGAACAGAAGGCTGACGCAGCTGCGTATACGACCAAGAAGGTGATAATTCCAAAGCTAGGTCCCTTCAACTTTATACTTACAATTTTTTATAGAATGCCGATGCATCAGAATACAATGCTCAAAAAACCGCCCTGGCCTCCCAATTCGGCCTGCAACGCTCTGCAGACGCTAAAAAGTACGAGACCCAAACTTCCTCGGATGCGAAACTGTACCAGCAACAAAAGACCACCGATGCCGCACAATATGAGACCCAAAAATCCGCCGATGCCCGCCACTACTCTGCTGTAAAGACCGCCGATGCCGACTACCTCGCTCGTGTTAAGAAGGCAGAGGCAGACCTCGTCACCGCCGAAAAGGCTGCTCAAGCCATGTTCATTACACGTAAGAAGGAAGCCGAGGGAATGCTCGAAATGGCGAAAGCCTATCAGGCATTATCGCAAGTAATGGGTGGTCCAGAAGGCCTAATGCAGTTCCTGATGATTGAGCGCGGTGTTTATGGCGATCTAGCAAACGCGAACGCTAAGGCAATCCAGGGCCTCCAACCCAAGATTTCCGTATGGAATACAGGCTCTGCTGGTGGTGAGGGTGCCATGGCCGATCCGGCCGCTCCCTTAAGGAACATCTTCCAAGCGTTGCCTCCACTGTTCTCTACTATCAATGAGCAAACGGGCATTTCCCCACCTGCCTGGATGGCGCAGATGCCTGCGAATGGTACTCCCGGCTCGGCGGTTGCGCCCAGGCCCGGGAACGGGCAGGTTGTTCTCCCTAAAAAGAGCTAAAATAAAATAATATAGTCAAAGGGGCAGAAGATGGGAGCGGAGCAGGAAGGATGTCTGTGTCTGTCTGCCTTGCATGACCTGTAATTCGGTCGTTCTTTCACTTGTTTCATTCATATTTTTCGTTCGCTCGACTTGTTTTACTTTTCTTTGTTTTTGATTAGTGGGGTGCGGATGTCAGGATTTTTCTTTGTTTGTGTGTCTGCTTGCTGGGTTGGGGGGGTGCGGATGTCAGTATTTTTCTTTGTTTGTGGGTCTGCTTGCTGGGTTGGGGGGGGGGGGGTATGGTAGCGTAGGTTAGTTAATGAATTGTATCGCGAATGTTCTTTTCCACTGCGGTTACGTTCCCGAACAAAGTAGTGAAGAGCCTGTGGGTCTGTAGGATGAAGTCTCCACCATACCCGTAACGAAACTGCGGGCGACAGACAGGGATCAGTGACCAATAATTTTGTTACCCTGCACCACTCTCACGGATTCCCTCCTTGCTGATCAACTGCCCCTGTTCGTCGCCCGCCCAGTTTCGTCGCAGGTAGGATGAAGACTGTATAGTCTATTCGAGGAAGTGCTGCAATATCATAACAAAATCCTTCGCATACAGTATAGTGCTCGTATACTAACCGTTTTCAAAAGTATTCGGATGGCCTGGCATATTTTCGCCTGTCTTGGCGTTAAGGCATCCGGATACTTTCGAAAACGGCTAGTAATATAGTGTCGGACGACCGCAGCAAGTGCGTACCCGCTCCTGGCGTACGATGCTCGAGTACCGGAATTACACTCGCGCTGTGCCACCTAACCGACTTTCGGCCCCATCTCAGCCGGGCGCATGCAAACCAGCCCACCAGCCCCCAGCCAGTCCAGCCCAGTCCAGTGGTCAGGTAACACCGAACCGGTATACGAGTACCTGGTACCGTGACCCAGGCACAAACCCCCACCGCCACAACCACCACCCAGAAGCGGCGGGTGGATTCGACACGAGCGTACTTACCGCCCCCAAAGCCCTGCCCTGTGTGTCCACACTTGCGTACCGGTATTTGTAACCTACCCGTTCTGGAATTTTGGAATTATGCCTTTTTCGCCCGGGGCTTGTTTCCCCCCCCACTTCCTGGGATTTCCGGCGAGTGGGGGGTGGATAGCCGAGTGATTGTCTGTGGGGCAGTTCGGGTAGTGAGGGGAGGCGGAGGCTTGTTGTAAGGGATGAGAGACGTGCTGCTCTGCGCAGCCGTATGCCGCATTGGGATTTCTTGTTTTGCGGTTGCGGGTGCCCTGCTAGTAGCGTTGGTATCATACTGCCGATGTCGAAAGGGGGGTTTTTTTTTTTAAAAAAAAAGACTGCTATTGCATACCACCAAAATTTGACCCTTTTGGCTCGGATATAGGTAGTATGTAATAATGATCCTTCGTTTTAAGAATGCTTCTATATTACGAGTACTATGCTGGCTGCCGGCGGAGCTGCATTGCTGTGGTGTGAGTCGTGGGATCTGTGGGGATCTGTCATATGGCGCTCCGGGGCGTCTGGGTGCTCTGGGGACCCGTGGGTGGTGGGGCATTATTGGGGTGCCGTTGCTTGCGATATGTTGGTGAGAATTTGAGAGAGATGGTTGCTGAAGTGGATCGGTGCTACTTTTTGCATGGGAAGGGCGTTGGCGTGCGATTTTGGGTGTCGATCCGATTTCTCCCTGCTCCCTGCGGCTTTTCGTAGTGCTGGAGATCTCCGGGGTGATCCTTCGGGGGGTTCGAGCCGTTTCGGATCTGACCTAGCACGGATCAGTGCTTCTCGTCGTCTTGGGGAGCGGGGGGAATCGGACATGAGGTAGTGGGATGCCAATTTCTGTTCGCGAGTAGAGTGAGTGATATCTGGTTTCTGCGGCCCGGGTGTACTTTGCTTCCCGGGAGGACTAGGAGAGAGAGCTACCGAAACAATCAAGAGATATCCAACAAGCATTGGCGGCCGAGAGCGGATACTTATACAGCAAGTTTAAGTACCCATTTTTTTTCCTTTGTTCCAATTATTTCTTGTAGAGCCGGTGGTGCCGTAACGCCTGCGCACTACTCGGAAGTCAATACTCGCTAAATCTCCCGCAGATCAATGTTCTCAAACCATCGTTCGAACACTGCTCCAGATACTCACCTATCGCACCTCCTCAGGACCCGACCCGACCCCTCTAAAGGACGAAAAGAAAGCACACTTTCCCTCCAGGCTCTCTATATTCGGGGTAAAATGAAGGGTCCCGCTGCAACACGACTCATCCTCACATGCATTCAAAAACGTCCGAGTGACAGGGCATGATTAGAGTGAAGGGGGTGTGGCATCCGGCATTTACGGGCTGTATCCTGTTTCCCCACACGATTCGTGTGAATAACCGGGGGGGCGGAGGGGGGTTCGGCGGGGGCTGCGGGTGTGACACGCCTCTGCGAGTGGAGTATGGCGTCCTGGGGGGAACAAAGAGAGTTAGCTTTGTGGCGCTCCGGACACAAGACAATGGAATGTCGTTCGCGAAGCTCTGATAAAAGGATTATTCACCGGAGGGAGTAAGCCTAGCCGAACTAGCTCCTGCCCGGACATGGGCCCAATTATGGTTTCTCCTTAGAAAGGTGCCATATCGGCGATCTGCTCCTGGTTTCTTCCGCTGCTGAGGAGTAAAGAGGGGGAAGCTAAGACCCGGTCGGGCGCTCCCGGGTGGCGTCGGAATTCCCTGGGATTCGTGTGAGACTGCGCTTAGGCCTGGTCGAGCTTAGTATCGTCCTGGCTGTCAGATGTATTCAGCACCATGGCTGTGGATGTGGTTGGAAGGTAGTCCATTGTATTTTGCTGTACAGATCAATTGAAATGAATGAATGACTTACCGACCAAGCTCTACCGTGGGCTGGGTGCTCTCCTGGAATGGGGCTAATATAGCGTTAGGTCAAGAGAGTATTTGCCCGATCGCAGTCCGGCATCTAGCGCACAATGGGAAGTAATTACCCGGGCGAGGAGTGGGTATATAAGGGGGCCTTCCCCCCCCTCTTTCTTTCCTTCTCATCTTCCTACCACCTGCTCCTCCATCTCAGTAATGAGTTACCCGATCGCAGTCTGGTATCCTGCTCACAATGGGGTACATTACCCGGACAAGAACTGGGTATATTACAGAGCCTTTCCCTCTTTCTTTCATTCCTTCTCTCCTACCTTTCACCTGCTTCTCTACCATGAAGATGAGCTAGGTCAAGGGAGCACTTGCCCAGTCGCAGTCCCCTGTCCTGCCCACAATAAGAGTCAATTACCCGGATGAGGAGTGGGAATAAAAGAGGTTCTTTCTCCTCCTCTTTCTTTTCTTTTCATCAGTCTTTCATCTTCTCCTCTATCTCACTGATCAGTTGAACTCAACCTTCCTTCAACTGGGTCTCTGTTACATATCTGCAAGACCATATCTCATTTACTCATCTACTAACCATCTATCAGCCTACTATCATATCCTACCTCATACTCCCTGGACAACTTATTCATTTCAACTTTCTCTTTCCTTTTTCTTTCTCTTATACAACTCCTATTCTATACTATTAAGTGGGTATGGAAATTAGCAAAAAACAGTTAAGTGTACCCAATTCAATAAAACTGAATATACTTATGACTAGCAGAGTTATAGGATATAAGACAGATATAACTGACAAACTTGAATATGACTGTATTAGGTCTATTTTTTGCTTAATTATCTTTGCAGTTTAGTAGAACTGGTAAGAATCTATCTTTTATTATTTGATAATTGAAAACTAATAGTTAGATATGATGTAATAGATAATATGATATATATACCTTATTTATATATCAACAACTATAAATATTATAACTTCTTGTCTCCCTCAATGAGGGAGATAATGAGGAGAATGACGGAGGCTCCATTGGCAACAATGAGAAGAGTCAGAAAATTGAAAAGGTTAGAGAAATAAAAAAGAGAACTCTAAGAGATTACCTACCCAGTTGTCTAATCATTTATATTCTCTACTAGGGAATATTCCTTCATAATCTAGTACTTGGTACTTCTATTGTATTTGCCTCCTCTACATTTGCTTTAATAATTGAATAATATTTAAACTAATTAATTATTTCAACTAGCAAATTAAGAATAAGAGAATAGTGGAAACTAGTATGATTTCAATTTCAAGTTGGAAAAGAGATATAGAGTACTAACTCTGTTGTCTAATTACTTAGTCCTTACACTCTACTACTTCCTACTCTACTTTTTTACTTTGGCTTCTTTGAAACTATCAAGACATATAAGAAGTATAATAATAATAATATAGGTAAAAGAGATGCAGGAGAAAGGGACTTGGGGGTTACTCCCCCAATTGTCTAATCTTCTGCATCTCTAATTCAACTCAATTCAACTGTGGTCTGTTACTCTTTCTTCCTTATTAAGATACAAGAGTACTAATAGTAATAAATCTTTAGTGGCAATAAACGAGAGTATTGAGAGAGAGAAAACAATGATGATAGCAAAACAGGAGGAAAAGATCAATGGAAGTTGGAGGCTGTTCACTTGACACCTCCAATAGTTCCTCCTTCTGAAAATCTGAGTTTCCTCTCTTATATACTAGTATTCTATATCAACATTTAGAATACTTATATTAACAACATTAAATATTTAAAAAATATGAGAGAGAGAAAAAAGGCAGCGAGGAAGGAAGAGTGGTAAGAGGAGTAGAGGGAAGGGACTTGTAGGTAATTCCTACAATTGTCTAACCCTTTACTTTCTACTACCTTATCCTGAGTTGCTTTTTTCTCTCTCAACTCCATCCTTAGAGATGGAGATTGATGATAGCAAATCATTGGAGTAAGACAAAAGAGGATAGAGAAAAGAAGAGCTGTGATGAGAAAAACAGAGTTAAAGGATTAAGATAAAGGGACCTGAGAATTACTTTCTTAGTTGTCTAACTTTTCATATTCCACTGTTAAATTCTGAGCTCTTCCTCTATCCTTATACTTTACTAACAGAAAAGAAATAATATAGGTTTAAATCCTTATTAGATACTAACAAGCGAGAGATTGAGGAAAAAGACGGTGATGACGGAAGAGAAGTTAGAGGAACAGTGGAAAGGGACTTGGAAGTAATACTTCCAATTGTCTAATCCTCTGTTCTCTCTCACTTCATCCTGAGCTGTTCTTTCTTCTTTTATTTTTCTTAAAATAAAGAAATTAATGAGAGCAAATCATTGGTATAAGACAAAAAGAGGATAGAGAAAAGAAGAGCTATGATGAGAAGATAGAATTATAGGATTAAGATAAAGAGACCTAAGAATTACATTCTTAGTTGTCTAGCTTTTCATATCCTACTGTCAAATTCTGAGCTCTTTCTCTATC